AGAGTAATAACATACATTCGAGAACCTAGCGGCCTCTTACGTTAATACCCTTCTATTACTTAGACTCTCCCTAAGTCACGATCTACTAGAAGGACTTAGTTACTATAGAAGGCAGAGAAAACGAATAGTAGTGTCCGGGGATCTAATTTCCTAGCGGCTACTAAGCGGCTATAGAAGCATACACTACGAAGCATATACTAGAAGCATACATTACCTATAGACTTATACTCGAGCGAGCCGAAGCAAGCCGTTATTATAAAAAGTCCTTAACGCATTCTATTACTAACTACAGCACGTATAACTAAAGGACCCGAAGGACTAGGACAAGGTATATAGAACGGGTACTTATTACAAGCGTATAAAACACGTGCGTATATACTAGCGAACTTAAAGAGTTAGATACTAGGTACTAACCGATACTATATAGAGAACAAAGGTTGAACTGCGCCCGAAGATGTTAAAAGACACAAGGTATGTTTTTGTCGAGGGTGCGCACTATAGATATAAAGTAGTCTTAATACGCTCGGTTCGGGGAGGGTACGTACTATAGGTATAAAGCAGTCTTAATACGCTCGGTTCGGGGAGGGTGCGTACTATAGGTATAAAGCAGTCTTAATACGCTCGGTCTTAATACCCCTATAGAGACGTCTTACCTAAGGACGCCTATTCGTACCGTAGAACTATAGTATAGCTAAACCCTTATACGGTCGCAGCCGAAATTAGCTACCGCGTACTCGCTTCCTAGAGCGCTATATCCGACATCGTACGCTCCTATTACCGAGTAGAAGATTAAGACGATTATAGCTGTTAGGAGTCTAAATTCGAACTAAATCGGGATTCGAGAACAACCTATACAATTACGCAAGCTTAACTAGATATACGTTTAGTATCTAGAGAAGAGCCTAACGTAGGAAGCCCTTATAGTAATAGACAAGAAGACTATCTACTAAGGAATTACCTAACAGTAATGCTACGAACCTATCTACTTATTAGGAGAGAGGGCGTCGGTATACCTTATTAAAGAGTTTTTACCTTAGCCGATGCTTTATCGGTGTAACTTACTAAAGAGTTTTTACCTTAGCTAAGCCTATTAGAGACCTCTGCAGTTTGCACTACGCTTAAACTAAACAAACCTCGTTAGGCCTTATTAGTAGTATTTGCTACGTCGAGTACGCAGTCGGCGCCTATCGGAGTCTACTAGTTATCGCCGTAGTTAGGAGATCCTCGCTAGCAGTATATGCGCTACTATATCGGTATTACTCCCTAATCCTCGCTCCTCGCTAGTAGTATATATGTACCGCTATAATAGCTCGCTCGGATCCGACTACTTATCTCTAACTATCTTACTAAGCGGCTCTAGCGATAGCAAGTCGCAGAACTAGCAAGGAATCCGGTATTAATCGCTATAGAGCTACCTATATACGACAAAGGAGGAATAGACACTGTCGCTAGTTACGCGCGAGGCGGATACTAGTATATAGGTAGTAGTATTATTAGTGTATACTATCGCTAGTTACGTAATGCGGATACCGGTACACAGTTAGTATTAATATAAAGAAGAAGAAGAAGTAGTAGTTAGAAAGCGAATTGCTATATATAACGGCGTAGGTAAGGTTTTACGCTATATCGTATAACGAATATCTAGGCACCGACAACGGCTATGTATTATCGCACTATACTATACTATACTTCTAAAGGCAAGAGCAAGCTCCTTCTACCTAAAGTGTAGCTTTCTTAGTATACCGATAGCGAGATTACTACGGCTAGTAGGAGTAGCTACGGCAGAGCGAGCCTCTTAACGTACTTACCGATAGCAACGACGAGGTATTCTTAGGAGCTAAGCGTGCTATCTTAGAGGAAGCGATTAATAGGCGAGATTATAAACTAGAGACTATATTAAACCTTGCAAGATCTACTGCCGCCGGGGTTGCTAAAAGTTAATAAAAGTTACTAAAAATTCTTAGACTTGCCGAGCATATACTTAAGGAGCTGTTTAAATGCAAGATCTACTACCGCCGGGGTTGCTAAAAGTTAATAAAAGTTTCTAAATGTTCTTACCCTTGCCGAGTATATGCTCGAGGAGCTGTTCGAATACAAGATCTACTATCGCCGAGTTGCTAAAGATTACTAAATGTTCTCGAGATTGCCGAGTATATACTCGAGTACTAGATCTACTACGATTACGGATAGGAATGTTACGGCTAATACTAATAACCTCTATAGCCTTATACGTATACGCTAATAGAAGTTTATATCCGATTAGAACTTTTAGTAACTTTTAGCAACTTTTAGCTAATCGTTAGAATATCCGAGGTTGACTATCTTCCGGCCTACCGACGTTATACGCTAAACGCGAGGAGACGCGATATTGCAATACTACTACGATATTTAAGACGAACAACGAAGCACTATAAGTTACTTTTATACGAACGCGCGAATCGAGCTCGATACGGAAGCATTAAAAAGCCGCGAATAGATAGCACTACTCGGACTAAGGGACGCCGAGAGATGCTAAGTAGAAGATGCTAAAAGATGCTAAAAGATGCTAGAAATTAGTATAGGGCGAGATCGTATATCTAGACGCCGTAGTCGCAAAGTGTCCTTATATAGATACTATATAGCAATGCCGCTAAAAGACAGGCTATATCTTAATAACTTGCTAACTTCGTCGATTCTAAGCCTATTAAGCGCTTTATAGTATATATCTTTACTAGAAGACGACGAAGAATACAACATCGTTAAGCGCTTTATAGCGTATATCTTCGAGCATAAGGACTACGAGAAGGACTACGAGAAGGGCTACGAAGAAGCGGATATACTCGAGATAGGAAAGTATACTAGCTGCGGCGACTAGGCTATACCTAGCTAATAATTCCGAGATTAACGATTTATCGATATTAGGCAGTCCGGTTTAATCTTTAGTATAGCAAATCGTTATTATAGGTCGCGGCGATGCCTCCGCCGGTAGTACGACTAATAGCTAACTACATTTCTAGAAATTGTCGGTACGATAGAAGAAAAGTAGTAGTACGGAATGCGGTCGTTATAGTATATTTATATCAAAACAGCTATCGAGAATGCAGATATTGTTTATTTAAACTGCCGGTCGTTATACAACATCTCGCTATAGCAAGTAGCAGCGTATTGTTCCTTCGGTTGTCGGCGGAAGTAGGTATACTCGATATAGTTAGTATCGGCCGAACGAGATACATCGAAGAGCCTAATTCTATAGATACTAAATTCGAGAGATACTAGCTATACTAGTTGCCGAGAAGGAAGAATTTAGCGAGGTTACTATACCTACCTTTAGCGCTATTTAAGGCGATCCTTGCCTCCGCGAGAACATTAACGAAGATACGAGGGGCGTATATGTCTCTTAAGAAGACTATATCTAGCGATTGTTCTAATATTAATATTTGCAACTTTTTAGCAAAGACGAAAGCTAAACTATAGCAGAATACTAGCAATACCGCTAGCCTAGAAGCAGAATCTTAGACATTGCCGCTAGTCCGGAGTTAGAACATTAGGATTACGGCTAGGTCTAATGCCGAATCTTAGACATTACCGCTAGCCTAGAAGTAGAATCTTATACATACCGCTAGCCTAGAAGTAGAATCTTACACATACCGCTAGCCTAGAAGCAGAATCTTATACATACCGCTAGCCTAGAAGCAGAATCTTATACATACCGCTAGCTCGGATGCCGAATCGCATTATTATAGCTATTTCGAAAGCAGAATCGCAGACATTACCGATAGTTTGTAGTCGAAACTTAACACTACCGCTAGATTAGAAACTAAAATTTAACTATTACCGCCTATCTATAGCGGAAATCTAGTGCTCGCTATCGGGTTTTAATCGAATCTAAATACTATTACTACCTTCTACTAGAAATCTCGTGTATGCTATCGCTTTCTAGTCAAAATCTAATAGTGCTTTTGCCTAATAGCTCGTTAAAGCTTTAGCAGATTGACCGATTAATTAACGCAGTAACCGTCTAGTATCGCCTATTAATAAGCTAGTCTATTTTATAGCAGTATCGACGGCGATAGGAAGAGCGACACTTAGCCCGGCGCACTCTTAAATATAACAGAGGTCGCTAAGTTAAACGTCGATAATAACGCCGAGCTAGGCTATATTATTAGTACCAACCCTTAAGAACAGTTATAACGAAGCTATTAAGATCCCCCCCCCCCCTATTACTAGGAGCCGTCGCTATCGTATTAAGCACTTTTGCTAGCTTGTATTAGCGGAAAGTAGCTTAATCGACTCTATTTAATAGTGCCTCTATTATTCGTTTCCCTCTATTAATCTATAAATAAAGACGCTACCGGTATACTATAGCAATCCGAGAAGGACTTCTACTATAGACCTATAGAGTGCCTATTAGCACGCTAGCAAGTTAAGGAACAAGGACACTAGAATATTAACATAGTAGTAGGATTAGCAGAGCGAGAAGAGACTTTATTTATAGCAGCAGAACTGCTATACCTAAACGCTAAATAGAAGACCCGCTAAGAGTATAAAAACAAAGCAAAGAATATAGCCTATTATACCCGAAGGCTAGCAAACAGCAACAGCAAAGCAAAGAAACAAACAAAGAAGCAGACTAGCTACTATGCCTAAACGCTAAACACCGAACACCTTTAGTAAGCATCGTGCGACTTACTACTATATTTTAGGTCTTACTACGCAAACAAGCAAAAGAATTAGTAGGCGGCGAGGCTACCGCAAGCACTACTACCTATCCTACTATCCTTGCTACTACTATAGCCGCTACCGAAGCTACCGCCGAAACTATCTAGCTTTAGAGCTAGGCTCTTAAGCTCGAGCCTAGGCTCCTCGTCGCGGTAAGAGTAAGGGATCTAAAACAATATTAGCTTTATATCTCAATATTAGTATAAGAAGACAAGACTAGAATGCTATACCTTGCGGAGACGACAGCGAGCACAACTACGGCTAGGCTTCTTAATAAAGGCCTTAATGCCCTCTAAATAACCCTAGTATTCGAAGCCGTCGCGACGGTAGGCATCGTATAGGCGAGCAAAGCGACGGCCTAACGTCGTCTCTATAATACGAACAACGTAGTATAGCTACGGGAAGCGATTAGCATAGGCGGCTACAAATATATTAACTCTTAGTTCTATCGCTTGCTCGATTAATATAACTTACGGTCGATAGTGCCCGGAGACTACTAATGTCCTATTGCCTAAGCAGGCTTAGGCGTCGTGCCTAGAATCGGCGGTCTAGTAGGCTAAGGGCGAGGCACGATAGCACCTCTAGCTAGGATAGGCGGCATATTGCTAACCTGCCCGCCTATTATCGGTGCGGCGGCCGGCGGAGCGAAGAAAGGAACGGCAGTAGTAGGAGGCAGCGCAAACGCGGCGGCAGTAGGGCTAGTAAAGGGTTTATTCTCGCTATAGTATAGTTAGCAATTGCACTTCTACGATAGTATAACAGGAATTAGTTACTTACTCTTCGTTATCGTCGCTACTAGCGGTAGCAGGATTATAGTCGTTACTATAGCATAGTTAGTATCTGCTATAATAGTAAGCGGTACGAAGCAATAACTTACTCGTCGCTAATAGGGCCGAAGTTAATGTCGTCGTCGCTATAATATAGTTAGTATGCTAACACTACCGACGACTAGAGCTTTAAGACACTTACTTGCCGTCTTGCGGCGTAACTAGTAGAGTAGGAGTAGGAGCGGGTACTAGTACTAGAGCTAGAGCTAGAGCTAGAGCTAGAACTAGAACTAGAGCTAGAGCTAGAACTAGAACTAGAGCTAGAGCAGGAGCAGGTACTAGAGCTAGTGCTAGCGCTAGCGGAGGCTAATAGCTATTATATATATTAGTATTATTCTCGGAGATCGATAGATAAAGATACGTACGTTGCTATACCCTAAAGGGTCGTAAAGAAAGGGCCGCTTAGACATATTAGTATACGCTCTTACTAATACGCTAAAGACTAAGATTAGTATACTTCTATTAATGCTGCTACTACTATATACGTAGACGAGCAGCGACGAGGCGGCGGCGGCGGATAGCGCGACGAACGCGCCGAGTAGCGTATACTATAGCTCGATCCTCCTATATACCTATTAGTACTATCTCGGCCTCTTAATACCTTCGAAGCTAGTAAGCAATACATATATCTACGCCGAAGAGAGGGTAGCCGCGAGCGGCCGGAGCAAAGAAAGGACCCGGTATTTTGTTACTTTCTATACTATTAACGTAGTTCTTATATTTAAGGTAACGTTATAGGCGATAGTAAGAGGGTATATACGATATCTAGTAGAAGAAGAAGAAAGGAAGGAAACGAGAGAGAGACATCTAAGATATATACCTATAAGACTAAGAGCGGAGTGAGTTCTATTATCCTACTAAAGAGCAACGTAAAACCGACTAACAATAGTATCTAAAGCTTACTACTAGGGAAATGTAGGGCAAGTAAAGTAATAGCTCGTTCGCTCGCCCTATTATTATAGGAGCGGACTAGGAGGGTTGATACTTAGTCTGCTCCGGCTGCTTTAATCCGCGCGTTCTTATTAGCCGAAAGTTAGTAAAAGTTCCTAAGAGATGCAGAAACTTTATATAGATAGCTAATTAATAATAGCAAGGCCCTACTTTTCCTAGCATTTACTATACGAAGTGCCTAGCAGTTGCCTAAAATACCCGGAATAGTATTGCAGAAGCCCGGAACGTATATTAATCCTCCGCTACTCGAAACGAAGTATACACTAATCCTTTGTAGGTAGGATACGGCGTTACACGAAAGTACTCTCCGCTAAGCCGTTTTGCGGCCGTATCCGCTAGTTACTACTCCTTCCTACCTAGGTCTTACACTTTTACTCTTAAAGCTACTAAAAGACAAAGGGCGACAAAAAGAAGCTATATACTAAATCGCTACGAAGCCGGACTTACCCTTTTTTCTACTTAGTATATACGCCGCTCGATATACGCGCGCTAAATAGAACGACTCTACTAAGTGCCTAGAGCATATAAAAGGTGCTAAAAGTTGCTAAAAGTTGCTAAGTATATAGACAAGCTATTCTAATAGAATTAGCATAGTATACCTAAGCGGAGATACACACTAAGACCGAGCGCTACTAATACGAATCGTAGCATCTCCTATATAGCGTTCGCACTTAATATACGCGGATTCGAGGACTGAAAGATGCTAGAGAATGCTAGAGAATACTAGAGAATGCTCGAAGATATCTTAAAATCACAATTACTAGTCGAGTATAAGGAGCTATACTACTATAGGAAAGGAAGGTACTATATCGCTAGACTTAGGCTCTACCGAAGGTTCTACTTCTAGCAACTATATTATACTCTCTCTCTAGCTATACTACCCGTTCGGGGCACTTACGGTTCGCTCCCCGGTTCTACTATCGACATCGCATTAGTAGTATTAATATAAGCTACGTTACGATGTTTCAAGTCTGCAATATCGGGCTTACTATACTATATCGAGAAGTTTCTAAACATCCCTATTAAATAGGATGCACTAAATCTGCAAATAGGCCTTACGAGGAGCACTTCCTTAGCGCTATACCTAAAGCAAACCCGCTACTTCTATAGTTAAGCTAAGAGCAAGAAGTTCAACTTCGACTAGTAGGCAACTAATCGCCGCGGTAACGATGTCTCTACTTCTCTATCCTCCTACTAGGATCTAAGTATACAAGGTCGGACTTAGTATATACCCTTCGAGAAGTTCCCTAATATCCCTATCTACTAGTTCGAACATTTACTAGAAGTCGGAATAGATAGACAAGCGAATACCCGCGTTAATAAGGAGGCTTATCGCTATAAACTCTTAGCAACCCCGGCGGTAGTATATTATAGAGTTTACTCGAGTACGCTCGACGATATCGAGAACATTTAGCAACTTCTATTAACATTTAGCAACTTTTAGCAACCCCGGAAGTAGTATATCGTACTATCTAAATAGCTACTCGACTATATACTTAGCAATATCGAGAACAATTAGCGAACTTTTAGCAACTTTTAGCAACTTTTAGCAACCCTAGTAGCGGTATATTACGCAGTTTACTCGAGTACGCTTAACGATATCGAGAACTTTTATTAACTTTTAACAACTTTTAGCAACCCCGGCGGTAGTGTATCTTGCACTTAATAAAGGTTTACCTAGATCTAAAAGCGTTCTCTTCGCTATATATCGCTTATTAATTTCTCCTATCGAGCGTATTTCTTAAAGAAGAAGAAGACCGGCTATATAATCCCCTCGTATAACACTATATAAGGGGGAGTATATAGCCGAGTACTATTACGCCGCGCCTCTTACCCGTTATTAACGACTATTTAGCCGGCCGTCTATAGCTACTAAGACTTGCGAATCGATCGACGCTATAAGCTCTAGTAACGAAACTTCTAAGAAAGCGTAGAAGAAGAAGCCTATACCGCTTAATCTGTAGCTATAATAATAGTAGCGGTTAATAAGTGTTTAAGATCGTATTAAGTAGCTCGATTAGAAGGTTAAGCAATAAGGAGGATATCGTAAGCTAGATCTATAGAGCACTCGAACGGTAGTATCTAAGCGTAAGCAGTAGGCGGAGGCAGATACTAAAGCGAAGGCTAGTTAGAAGGCATCGTAGAGAGGGGATCGTCGAAGAGAATAATTAAGTAGCGAGATATAACTTAGAGACTAGCGTTTATAGCTAGACTTCTGCTTTTAATTATTAACTTCTGCGTCTAATACTTAACTCCTATATTTAATGCTTAACTTCTACTCTACTCGGTAGCTAGACTTCTGCTTTGCTCGGTAAATAACCGCCTTTTAAGTAGACTTCTTAGAAGAGATTAGATAGCTTAATAACCGCATTCGATATAGATTAAGCTACGAGCTTCTAGATAATGTTAGAAGGCATATCGGCGGCATATTACTACTACTAAGGCAGCTATAGCATTAAGAGCTTATACGGATCTCTATAATAGCAAATATAGAGCAGTAGACTTAGTCTTATATTAACATCTTATCTTATAATATTAACGAGGCTACGTTCTTAATTAACGTCGATCCTTATTCGCGTTCTCCTTCTACTAACCGAATATCCGCTAAAACTATAGCTATATTATTATAGGCTCGAACCTACGCTCGCGGACTAACGTCGACTTAAGCTTGCTATCGTAGGCATTGCGGCACTAGCTATGCGTTGCTAGCTTCGCGCTACTACTAAAGCTAATAATACTACAGTCTTCCTCTAATTTCCTAAGCCGTTATATCGATATAAGATCGTCGTATCTCTTAAACTAGCGAATACTATAGAATTTAGGATATACTCGCGATCTTATACCCTCCTTGCGCTCTATAGCTATACTAATCTTCTTGCTTTCGACTAGGCTGCGAGGAAGGTTTATAATACCGCTTAGATCCTTCTATTCGTATATAATAAACACGTTCGAGCCTCGGAGGTCGCGAAGGTCCTACTATAGCTCGCTCTACTTAATATCGTGTCGATCGAATTCGATAACGATAAAGGTCTATAATTTAGCGGCATACTGCTTATTCGGTTTGTCCGTACGCTATTCCTTGCGACCGATCGCAAGTGGAGCTATCGATCCGTCCTTATAGACAACCTCGCTAACTTTAATATACGAGACCTAAAGCGTATAGTTAGTATCTATAGATCCTTAGCTTTCTTAGATCTATACCTACTAGTCTTAATACCGTACTATACCTCCGTCGACGTCGAAGCAGGTAGAAGCTATAATAGAGTATTCGAATCGGCTTAGATATATATTTGAGCTATCGAGAAGATAGCTATATTCCGGAGGTTGTTGTTTGTTATTGTCGATAAGAGCAATCGAGGGCTTAGTATAGGCGTAAAATACCTGCTATTCTATACAGATAGCAGGTAGCAACTAGCGCCTACTTCTAGAGACAGCATATAATAGCGGAAATGTTACTACTAGCATAACTTGAACTGTTACTACTAGCATAACTTGAACTGTTATATACCGCGTAACTTCGTCTATTAACTACGTACGCTTTCTAGGCGACAAGGCAGGAGCTCCGGTAAGTAGTCGGTTACTGCTTATATTAACTTTAGTCGACGGCAATCCTTCTTCCTTCTTTAATATTAATCGTCAATTAGTAGATAGTAATCCTTCTTCCCTTCCTTAACAATATTTATTAATTACTAAATACTATATAATACTCGAGCAACGACGACAAAATAGCTAATAATATATAGTAGAACCTAGCGTAGCAGCACTAACTCGATTATTTCCGTACGGATTATAGTCTACTTCCTAGCCGTTTAGGGATAGTAAGTGCTAATAGTCGTCGATTCTTCTATATAGAAACTAACATTTAAAGGGTTGCAACGTCGGCTTAGTCTAGAACAGCATAGGTAGAAATTAGCTAGGTACGCTCTATTTTGCTACGAGGGAGTATAATCTACTAAACAATAGCGGCCGCGAGACTATATCGTAGTAGGTCGTGCAAACTATAATAGGGCTAACTACTAGCAGATATACTACCTATCGGTTCGACCTTAGAGAGGATAGCATTTAAGGCCTTCCGAATTAGACGACGCGAGCTTGTTTCGCGTTTATAAGACGTTATCGCGGCCTTACCGAAACAAACCGGCTTACGTTAATAAGGTAGGATACGCATACCTTGTTTCCGAATAGTTACAATTATATCCTAGCGCGGTAGGGATATTAGCACGATAACAATAGTCTAAATAGCGCTAATCGTTTAAGTCGATAGATAGTATACGAGCCTGCGTTTCTAGCGTAGTATACGCGAGTAAACGGGCCTCTAATATAGCTAGTACTATCGACTTTTCGACAACTTAAAGCAAGCCGATAGCGAGGAGATCTAGCTAACGACCTATAGGACCTAACTAGATAGTAGGCACGGCACTTACGTAAATAATAGGCAAGAGTGTAAGGGTAGAGGGTT